ATCACCCCTTAGCAGTCATTTATTTGATACAGTACCCCTTAGCAGTCATTTATTGATACATTACCCATTAGCAGTCATTTATTTGATACATTACCCCCTTAGCAGTCATTTATTGATACATTACATCTCAGCAGTCATTTATTTGATACATTACCCCCTCAGCAGTCATTTATTTGATTTATTACTCCTCAGCAGCCATTTATTTGATACATTACCCCTTAGCAGTCATTTAATTGATACATTACCCCTCAGCAGTCATTTATTTGATACATTACCCCTCAGCAGTCATTTATTTGATACATTACCCCTCAGCAGTCATTTATTTGATACATTACCCATCAGCAGTCATTTATTTGATACATTATCTCTTAGCAGTCATTTATTTGATACAGTACCCTTCAGCAGTCATGCAGTCATTTATTTGATACATCACCCCCTTAGCAGTCATTTATTTGAGACATTACCCCTTAGCAGTCATTTATTTGATACATTACCCTCAGCAGTCATTTATTGGATACATTACCCCTTAGCAGTCATTTATTTGATTCATTACCCTCAGCAGTCATTTATTTGATACATTACCCTTAGCAGTCATTTATTTGATACATTACCCCCTCAGCAGTCATTTATTGGATACATTACCCCTCAGCAGTTATTTATTTGATACATTACCCATCAGCAGTCATTTATTTGATACATTACCCATCAGCAGTCATTTATTTGATACATTACCCATCAGCAGTCATTTATTTGATACATTACCCATCAACAGTCATTTATTTGATACATTACCCATCAACAGTCATTTATTTGATACATTACCCATCAGCAGTCATTTGTTTGATTCATTACCCTCAGCAGTCATTTGTTTGATTCATTACCCCTTAGCAGTCATTTATTTGATACATTACCCCCTCAGCAGTCATTTATTTGATACATTACTCCGCAGCAGTCATTTATTTGATACAGTACCCCTTAGCAGTCATTTATTTGATACATTACCCCTTAGCAGTCATTTATTTGATACATTACTCCCTCAGCAGTCATTTATTTGATACATTATTTGATACATTACCTCTCAGCAGTCATTTATTTGATACATTACCCCTTAGCAGTCATTTATTTGATACATCACCCCTCAGCAGTCATTTATTTGATACATCACCCCTCAGCAGTCATTTATTGATACATTACCCCTTAGCAGTCATTTATTTGATACATTACCCCTTAGCAGTCATTTATTTGATACATTACCCCCTCAGCAGTCATTTATTTGATAAATTATCCCTTAGCAGTCATTTATTTGATACATTACCCCTCAGCAGTCATTTATTTGATAAATCACCCCTTAGCAGTCATTTATTTGATACAGTACCCCTTAGCAGTCATTTATTGATACATTACCCATTAGCAGTCATTTATTTGATACATTACCCCCTTAGCAGTCATTTATTGATACATTACATCTCAGCAGTCATTTATTTGATACATTACCCCTCAGCAGTCATTTATTTGATACATTTTCCCTCAGCAGTCATTTATTTGATACATTACCCCTCAGCAGTCATTTATTTGATACATTACCCCTCAGCAGTCATTTATTTGATACATTACCCATCAGCAGTCATTTATTTGATACATTATCTCTTAGCAGTCATTTATTTGATACAGTACCCTTCAGCAGTCATGCAGTCATTTATTTGATACATCACCCCCTTAGCAGTCATTAATTTGATACATTACCCATCAGCAGTCATTTGTTTGATTCATTACCCTCAGCAGTCATTTATTTGATACATTACCCCTTAGCAGTCATTTATTTGATACATTACCCCCTCAGCAGTCATTTATTTGATACATTACTCCTCAGCAGTCATTTATTTGATAAATCACCCCTTAGCAGTCATTTATTTGATACATTACCCCTTAGCAGTCATTTATTTGATAAATTATCCCTTAGCAGTCATTTATTTGATTCATTACCCCCTCAGCAGTCATTTATTTGATACATTACCCTTAGCAGTCATTTATTTGATACATTACTCCGCAGCAGTCATTTATTTGATACAGTACCCCTTAGCAGTCATTTATTTGATACATTACCCCTTAGCAGTCATTTATTTGATACATTACCCCCTCAGCAGTCATTTATTTGATACATTATTTGATACATTACCTCTCAGCAGTCATTTATTTGATACATTACCCCTTAGCAGTCATTTATTTGATACATTACCCCTCAGCAGTCATTTATTTGATAAATCACCCCTTAGCAGTCATTTATTTGATACAGTACCCCTTAGCAGTCATTTATTGATACATTACCCATTAGCAGTCATTTATTTGATACATTACCCCCCTTAGCAGTCATTTATTGATACATTACATCTCAGCAGTCATTTATTTGATACATTACCCCCTCAGCAGTCATTTATTTGATACATTACCCATCAGCAGTCATTTATTTGATATATTACCCATCAGCAGTCATTTATTTGATACATTACCCCCTCAGCAGTCATTTGATTCATTACTCCTTAGCAGTCATTTATTTGATACATTATCTCTTAGCAGTCATTTATTTGATACAGTACCCTTCAGCAGTCATGCAGTCATTTATTTGATACATCACCCCCTTAGCAGTCAATTATTTGATACATTACCCCTTAGCAGTCATTTATTTGATACATTACCCTCAGCAGTCATTTATTGGATACATTACCCCTTAGCAGTCATTTATTTGATTCATTACCCTCAGCAGTCATTTATTTGATACATTACCCTTAGCAGTCATTTATTTGATACATTACCCATCAACAGTCATTTATTTGATACATTACCCATCAGCAGTCATTTGTTTGATTCATTACCCTCAGCAGTCATTTATTTGATACATTACCCCTCAGCAGTCATTTATTTGATACATTACTCCTTAGCAGTCATTTATTTGATACATTACCCCTTAGGACTCATTTATTTGATACATTACCCATCAGCAGTCATTTATTTGATACATTACTCCTTAGCAGTCATTTATTTGATACATTACCCCTTAGCAGTCATTTATTTGATACATTACCCCTCAGCAGTCATTTATTTGATAAATCACCCCTTAGCAGTCATGTATTTGATACATTACCCCTCAGCAGTCATTTATTTGATAAATCACCCCTTAGCAGTCATTTATTTGATACAGTACCACTTAGCAGTCATTTATTTGATACATTACCCCTTAGCAGTCATTTATTTGATACATTACCCTCTCAGCAGTCATTTATTGGATACATTATTTGATACATTACCTCTCAGCAGTCATTTATTTGATACATTACCCCTTAGCAGTCATTTATTTGATACATTACCCCTCAGCAGTCATTTATTTGATACATCACCCCTCAGCAGTCATTTATTGATACATTACCCCTTAGCAGTCATTTATTTGATACACTACCCCTCAGCAGTCATTTATTTGATACATTACTCCTCAGCAGTCATTTACTTGATACATTACCCATCAGCAGTCATTTATTTGATACATTATCTATCAGCAGTCATTTATTTGATACATCACCCCTCAGCAGTCATTTACTTGAAACATTACCTCTCAGCAGTCATTTATTTGATACATTACCCCTCAGCAGTCATTTATTTGATACATTACCCCTCAGCAGTCATTTATTTGATACATTACCCATCAACAGTCATTTATTTGATACATTACCCATCAGCAGTCATTTGTTTGATTCATTACCCTCAGCAGTCATTTATTTGAATACATTACCCTTAGCAGTCATTTATTTGAATACATTACCCCTCAGCAGTCATTTATTTGATACATTACCCCCTCAGCAGTCATTTATTTGATACATTACCCCCTCAGCAGTCATTTATTTGATACATTACCCCTTAGCAGTCATTTATTTGATACAGTACCCCTTAGCAGTCATTAATTTGATACAGTACCCCTTAGCAGTCATTAATTTGATACAGTACCTGTTAGCAGTAATTCTAATAAATCAAATATGCTAAATATGCAAATATGTACATGACAGTTGAAAAAATCAGCTTACCAACATTGAACAGCGAGAATAGCGATTCAAACACTGGATCCTGACTGGTACTCTCAATTATATCACTGATTGCATCATTAGTCACTGGTGCCTATAAACAAAAATATTTCCTAGGTATATAATTTACATGGTAGACAGGATGTAGCTAGGGAGTAGCAAACAGAAGATGGGAGTAAAAAAGACTCCATATGGCTGACCAGTTGTAGCCTGCCTGGGGTTGCATATGGCAGATCATGAGTAGTCAGATGGGATGTAACCTGGGGCTGTTATCTCATGACATTTGATAATACAGATCATGAGTAATCAAATGGGATTTAACCTGGGGCTGTTACCCCATGACATTTGATAACAGATCATGAGTGGTCAGACTAGATGTACCATGGGGCTGTTATCTCATGACATTTGATAATACAGATCATGAGTGGTCAGATGGGATGTAACCCGGGGATGTTATTTCAAGACATTTGATAATACAGATCATGAGTGGCCAGATGGGATGTAACCCGGGGATGTTATTTCAAGACATTTGATAATACAGATCATGAGTGATCAGATGGGATGTAACCTGGGGCTGTTATCCCATGACATTTGATAATACAGATCATGAGTAATCAGATGGGCTGTAACCTGGGGCTGTTATCTCGTGACATTTGATAATATAGATCATGAGTGGTCAGACTAAATGTAACCTGGGACTGTTATCTCATGACATTTGATAATACAGATCATGAGTGGTCAGACTAGATGTAACACGGGGCTGTTATCTCATGACATTTGATAATACAGATCATGAGTGGTCAGACTAGATGTAACATGGGGATGTTATATCATGACATTTGACAATACAGATCATGAGTGGTCAGATGGGATGTAACCTGGGGCTGTTATCTCATGACATTTGATAATACAGATCATGAGTGGTCAGATGGGATGTAACCTGGGGCTGTTATCTCATGACATTTGATAATACAGATCATGAGTGGTCAGAATAGATGTAACATGGGGCTGTTATCTCATGACATTTGATAATACAGATCATGAGTAGTCAGATGGGATGTAACCTGGGGCTGTTATCCCATGACATTTGATAATACAGAACATGAGTGGTCAGACTAGATGTAACCTAGAGCTGTTATCTCATGACATTTGATAATACAGATCATGAGTGGTCAGACTAGATGTAACATGGGGCTGTTATCTCATGACATTTGATAATACAGATCATGAGTAGTCAGATGGGATGTAACCTGGGGCTGTTATTTCATGACATTTGATAATACAGATCATGAGTGGTCAGATGGGATGTTACCTGGGACTGTTATCTCATG